AAAAAAAAGGTGTTCCACTTTACGGCGGTTTCCGCTTTAAAGGGGGTTTAGCCTGGAACCTAACCAGCGTAAAAAGTGGGGCCCTCCTGTACCTAATTCTTTGTATCAAGAACCCCTTACCAGCATCAAGGAACCTCCCTGGGGGGGAGGAGGGGTAACAATGCCTGAGCTGGAATTATCTCAGATAATGACTATCATATCCATGGAACAGAATGAATTCAAAAGGTAGCACTAATTGTAACCAATGACAACTAAGAAATTAAATGAAATAATTACTGAAAACATTACTGACTTGTAACTGCTCTTGTAGCTACAAACAGGTACAGGAATTACATCAATCACTACAGAAAGCCTAGCTTCCATTTATAAATAAAATCCTTATGTAACTGAAGTATATGGTACAAGATACACATATCTCCACCAGGGTAATGCTAATTGTAAAATATATATTCTACTAGCAATATGACTGATGGAATTTGTTCTGGCTTTTATTTTGACCATACAAGACACAAGCCAAGCATGGCTTCGATTAAAAGCGGCATTTTCTGCCATACTATACCATAAAGGAACTTTAACATCAATTACTATTCCTACATTATGCAGTGTAAAAATTTTTACATACTATAACAGTGTTAAAATTTGGTCCAACCTTGACTGCATTCCAACACAATGCAGTCTAATGTCAGAAACTCAAGGAATCCATGGTTTTATTTCTTAACATAAATTTCACTAAATATGGCATGAAAAAGCATACCATTTTTAATGGAACCTACATACAGAAAAAAAAGCAGGTATGAAACTTAACATTCTTTAGTAGTACAAAATGTGGGGTGGTGGTGTACTATATTCTGAAAAAGTGATGTGCCCCATGTAGAAAATTGATTTCAGCCAAACTGCATATTTAATTAAGACAAACTACTATACAGCAAACAACTGAAGAAATTAACATTTAACCCTTGCACGTAGAGGCCCCCGAAACTAAGAGTGCTGACAATGCTAGACTTAGAAGGGTAAAAAAAAACACTGAAGTGGTAGATTTTTTTTTTCTTAAGGTAATAAAAATGGTTTAAAAATGTAGTGTTAGTGTTCAGCAGAAGTTTGTGGTTACAGGAAAGTGGGTGCGGGAGGGAAGAGGAGCGATTGGTGGAATGACGACGTAAAGAGAGTAGTAAGGGAGAAAAAGTTAGCATATGAGAAGTTTTTACAAAGTAGAAGTGATGCAAGGAGGGAAGAGTATATGGAGAAAAAGAGAGAGGTTAAGAGAGTGGTGAAACAATGTAAAAAGAGAGCAAATGAGAGAGTGGGTGAGATGTTATTCAACAAATTTTTTTTGAAAATAAGAAAGGTTTTGGAGTGAGATTAACAAGTTAAGAAAGCCTAGAGAACAAATGGATTTGTCAGTTAAAAATAGGGAGGAGAGTTATTAAATGAGAGTTAGAGGTATTGGGAAGATGGAGGGAATTTTTGAGGAATTGTTAAATGTTGATGAAGATAGGGAAAGCTGTGATTTCGTGTATAGGGCAAGGAGGAATAAAAATCTTGTAGGAGTGAGGAAGAGCCAGTTGTGAGTGTGGGGGAAGTTCGTGAGGCAGTAGGTAAAATGAAAGGGGGGAAGGCAGCCGGGGATTGATGGAATAAAGTAGAAATGTTAGAAGCAGGTGGGGATATTTGTTTTGGAGTGGTTGGTGCAATTATTTAATAAATGTATGGAAAAAGGGTAAGGTACTAGGGATTGGCCCGAGAGCATGCATAGTTCTTTGTATAAAGGCAAAGGGGATAAAAGAGAGTGCAAAAATTATAGGGGGATAAGTCTGTTGAGTATACCTAGTAAAGTGTATGGTAGAGTTATTATTGAAAGAATTAAGAGTAAGACGGAGAATAGGATAGCAGATGAACAAGGAGGCTTTAGGAAAGGTAGGGGTGTGTGGACCAGGTGTTTACAGTGAAACATATAAATGAACAGTTTTAGATAAGGCTAAAGAGGGCTTTGTGGCATTTATGGATTTGGAAAAGGGGGTATGACAGGGTGGAAAAGGGGGGCAATGTGGCAGATGATGCAGGTGTATGGTTGTAGGAGGTAGGTTACTGAAAGCAGTGAAGAGTTTTTACGAGGTAGTGAGGCTTTAAGTTAGGTATGTAGGAAAGGGGAAATTATTTCCCAGTAAAAGTAGGCCTTAGACAAGGATGTGTGATGTCACCGTGGTTGTTTAATATATTTATAGATGGGGTTGTAAGAGAAGTAAATGCGAGGGTCTTGGCAAGAGGCGTGGAGTTAAAAGATAAAGAATCACACAAGTGGGAGTTGTCACAGTTGCTCTTTGCTGATGACACTTGCCCTTGGGAGATTTCTAAAGAGAAGTTGCAGAGATTGGTGGATGAATTTGGTAGGGTGTGCAAAGAAGAAAATTGAAAGTGAATACAGGAAAGAGTAAGGTTATGAGGATAACAAAAAGATTGGGTGATGAAAGATTGGATATCAGATTGGAGGGAGAGAGTAGGGAGGAGGTGAATGTATTCAGATATTTGGGAGTGGATGTGTCAGCAGATGGGTCTATGAAAGATGAGGTGAATCATAGAATTGATGAGGGGAAAAGGGTGAGGGGTTTGCACCTTAGGAGTCTGTGGAGACAAAGAATTTTGTCCTTGGAGGCAAAGAGGGGAATGTATGAGAGTATAGTTTTTACCAACGCTCTTATATGGGTGTGAAGCATGGGTGATGAATGTTGCAGCGAGGAGAAGGCTGGAGGCAGTGGAGATGTCATGTCTGAGGGCAATGTGTGGTGTGAATATAATGCAGAGAATTCGTAGTTTGGAAGTTAGGAGGAGGTGCGGGATTACCAAAACTGTTGTCCCGAGGGTGAGGAAGGGTTGTTGAAGGTGGTTCGGACATGTAGAGAGAATGGAGCAAAACAGTATGACTTCAAGAGTGTATCAGTCTGTAGTGGAAGGAAGGCGGGGTAGGGGTTCGGCCTGGAAAGGTTGGAGGGAGGGGGTAAGGGGGTTTTTGTGTGCGAGGGGCTTGGATTTCCCAAAGAGGCATGCGCGAGCGTTTTTGGGATAGGAGTGAATGGAGACAAATGGTTTTTAATACTTGACGTGCTGTTGGAGTGTGAGCAAAGTAACATTTATGAAGGGGTTCAGGGAAACCAGCAGGCCGGACTTGAGTCCTGGAGATGGGAAGTACAGTGCCTGCACTCTGAAGGAGGGGTGTTAATGTTGCAGTTTAAAAACTGTAGTGTAAAGCATCCTTCTGGCAAGACAGTGATGGAGTGAATGATGGTGAAAGTTTTTCTTTTTCGGGCCACCCTGCCTTGGTGGGAATCAGCCAGTGTGATAATAAAAAAATAAATAAATAAAAAAAATGAAATTTAATGGAAAACTCAGAATTATGCAGCAGAAATCTGATGGTATGAGCACAATTCACACACCAATTCCATTACTCAATTTAACCAAACTTGGTTATTTGGCTAATATGCCTTCCTTTCTATTGACTGAGCACAAGAACATGTCAATTTTACACAAAATTCTCAACAAACTTAAATTTAAAAACAGAATCCAAAATGCACACCATGCATTCCAGTAACTCAAGAAATCTATCCTCTGTTCACTAATGTCCCCAGGCCACTCCTATATTTCACTTGCCCTCCCCATTTTGACTCTCCCAAAAAAGAAAATGGGTATATAAATTATGTGAAGCAGTCTGAGGCAGTGCCAAAAGCAGAAAAATACGAACTTAGAAGTAGGCCATGCCTACAGATTATGCAAGCATAAGAGGATTTCCATTCTTCTCTGTTCTGGACTGATGCCATTTACTGGCGAAATGTTTCCTAAATTAAAATACCAGTGTTACAAAAGAATCTCATTCACCACTAAAATAATGGTTTGCCCTATTTTTCGGATAATAAATGCCATCACGAATAACTGATCATGGTTTAGGGATTTTAATAATTGATCAGACCTAGTAAGGGCTCATAAAACAGACTGGGGAGTACAGGGGGGGGGGAGGCCTCACCAATCCTTGGAAAAATCATCAAAAATTAATATTTCTGCAACTATGACCCCCATTTTAATCTACTTGTGGTCCTGAAACCAACGAAAATCATATCTACAGTGTATTTCAGTAGTATGTCTTCCATTCTAGAAATTAATACCAAGAAATAGCTATCATATAGGTAGGAGGTTGGTAGACAGCAATTCCCAGGGAGGCACTACCGTCCTGCCAAGTGAGTGTAAAATGGAAGCCTGTACTTGTTTTACATGATGGTAGGATTGCTGGTGTCTTTTCTCTGTCTCATACATGCAAGATTTCAAGTACATCTTGCTACTTCTACTTACACTTAGGTCACACTACACAGGCATGTACAAGCATATATATACACACCCCTCTGGGGTTTCTTCTATTTTTCTTACTAGTTCTTGTCCTTGTTTATTTCCTGTTATCTCCATGGGGAAGTGGAACAGAATTCTTCCTCTGTAAGCCATGCGTGTTGTAAGAGGCAACTAAAATGCTGGGAGCAAGGGGCGTAACCCCCTTTTCCTGTACAAGTTACTAAATTTTATAAAGAGAAACTCGTTTTTCTTTTTGGGCCACCCTACCTCGGTGGGATACAGTCAGTTTGTTGAAAAAGAAAATAGCTATCATGCACCACATGGGGCAGGATTTTTTTTTTAAACTTCACACTCCTCAGACCCATTCTACAACGTTGAAACCAAATTTAACAGCTCTCTCCATATTTGAGGGCACTGTACTTAAAACAGATCTAAGCAATTGCTTAGCTCTGTTTTAATCACGTAAATGTTATTTACATGCTTAAAACATTTTTGCGATAGTGAAAGGATTAAATACAAGTTATTTATTCACTATTTTGTGCACATTCATTTTAAAGATGTGTAGAAGGCTCAGATTTGGTAAATACTGGTACAATATTATCCACACCACAGCTCACCTTGCCACATGCCAAGATAACTATCACTACAACCCTTCCTCCTACAAAACTTACCCATAAACCCAGTGGGAAAGTTCTTATCAGTCCGAATCTTGCCATCAATGCGAATAAGGCGCTGCATAGTAATCTTGGTCACTTCTGTATTGGTCAAGGCATACTTCAGACGGTTACGCAGGAGAAGAACCAAAGGAAGACACTCACGCAATTTGTGGGGACCTGTGAAGGCCTGGGAGCAAACACACCCCCAAGCTTATCTAGCATCCATGACTTGGGGGCAACAATGCGCTTCAAGTGATGTTTAGGTCCACGCTGAAATAAATAAGCAAAAAATTAATGTAGGAAAAGAAATTTCACCCAAAAATTATAATACGGTAATATCAAATTAAGTGCTAAACCCAAAAGGGTCATACAAACCTGAAGGTTGAGATGTGTGAAAGGAGTGCAGGGCAGGTGTGTCCAAAAAGCAGGGGTTAGTGGGTGTTAGGGGAGTGCAAAAGTTAAAGGAAAAGTAAAACTGCAGGTTGTGCAACAAATTAAGAGTTTTTGCATCAAAGATGGGACTTTCAGCAACACCTGTGAGTTAACCCTTTCAGTGACCATGTAGAACTACATCACTGAGGCCAGGGTTCTCTCATGTAGTTCTACATCATGAGCTTGGCTCACTCATCAGCTGTAAGCAGTAAATTTTGGCCTAGATTTGACAGAATGGGTTTGCACAATATGTGAAGAGTAACCAATATAAAAAAAATCATGCCCCACAGAGTGCATGAGAGGAAAAGCAAAACTGACCATCAAGCCCAAATCCTGAGGTGTCTCCTGGTGTTGCAAAATCCCCCCCCCCCCAATTTTTTTTTTTTTCTAATGAAATGATAGAGAATCTTTTCCCGATTGTAATGACACCAAAAGAACAAAATTTGATGAAAAACTGACGGGATTATGCTCTCACGTAGTTAGCGACCTAGGCAATATTTACAAATCGGCGATTTCACCCACTTTGAGCCCTATTTTTGGCTAATTCCATTATTCCAGTTGGCCAAACTCATAGCTATTTCTTTAGAACTCCATTTTTTCTATCGATTGAGTACAAGAAACTACTCATTTACCAATTTCAACTACCCAATAACGTGGTCAGAAATTTGCAATTTGGCCAATTCCACAAAAATTAAAAAATATGACAATTTCAAAATAGGGTCCAGAATGAACTATGCAGACATTTCTGGCTCTAAAATAACATTTTCTTTGTTCATCAGTCACGTCTCCAGGCCCCTCTGATATTACTCTTGCTTTCTATTTTGAATTTTTATTCAAACAAAATAATAGAAGATTTACTGTTATGCAGACTACTACAATATTGTAATAATTGTATAAAGAACGTCAACCCATTCATGACTGCGTATTAGAATGGCTACTTGGACATTTGTTGGAAAATGACATCATTTATTTACTTTTGAACATCGGCAAAAATCAAACATTTCCCCTAGTTTGAGCTCCATTTCAAGGTTCTTTTCATAGTAAAACCAATCAATATCACCTCTATTTCTATAATATGTTGTCCATTCTATCAAATGAGACCAAGAAAACAAGAATACAACCATAAATACTATACGAAAGTAGTCCACAAAGTTGGCATTTTAGTTAAAAAAAACGGTCCGAGTTTTTTTTTCTCATTACCTGGAGTTTACCTGGAGAGTTTCGGGGGTCAACGCCCCCGCGGCCCGGTCTGTGACCAGGCCTCCTGGTGGATCAGCGCCTGATCAACCAGGCTGTTGCTGCTGGCTGCACACAAACCAACGTACGAGCCACAGCCCGGCTGATCAGGAACTGACTTTAGGTGCTTGTCCAGTGCCAGCTTGAAGACTGCCAGGGGTCTGTTGGTAATCCCCCTTATGTGTGCTGGGAGGCAGTTGAACAGTCTCGGCCCCCTGACACTTATTGTATGGTCTCTTAACGTGCTAGTGACACCCCTGCTTTTCATTGGGGGGATGGTGCATCGTCTGCCAAGTCTTTTGCTTTCGTAGTGAGTGATTTTCGTGTGCAAGTTCGGTACTAGTCCCTCTAGGATTTTCCAGGTGTATATAATCATGTATCTCTCCCTCCTGCGTTCCAGGGAATACAGGTTTAGAAACCTCAAGCGCTCCCAGTAATTGAGGTGTTTTATCTCCGTTATGCGCGCCGTGAAAGTTCTCTGTACATTTTCTAGGTCGGCAATTTCACCTGCCTTGAAAGGTGCTGTTAGAGTGCAGCAATATTCCAGCCTAGATAGAACAAGTGACCTGAAGAGTGTCATCATGAGCTTGGCCTCCCTAGTTTTGAAGGTTCTCATTATCCATCCTGTCATTTTTCTAGCAGATGCGATTGATACAATGTTATGGTATTATGCACTGCGTGCTGCAGGATTTTTTTTATATGGTGCACACTGACCACACAGACCCATTCTCTCACACGTGGGCCTACGAGCTTTCTCCTGCTTGATTTGAAGCCGCTAGAATTTGAGTATAAATACATCAAAAACGGAGGCTCGTAAGACGTATATATACAACCAAAACAGTCAAAGGGGTTCAAATAGCAAACTGTGTTGTTGTCTAGGATGACTTTTAATTTTAATGATTGTTTCTTGGTATCATTTGATAGAAAGGAAGACACTCCTGAAACTTGAGAAAATTTTGGTTGGGTTCAGGACCAGAAGTAGCTTAAAAATGGGTTAAAAATAGCCAAAATATTCAATTCCTGACCATTTTCCTGAGGATGAGGAATGCCTCCCTTTACTCCATCTTATAATGGTTTTTTTTTTTAACCCTTTCACTGTCAAGACCCCTGCTCATAAACTTGCTTTCAGTGTCAAAAAATTTAAAAAAAAAAAAAAAAAAAAAAAAAAAAAAAAAAAAAAAGAGAATCTTTTCCCGAAGGTAATGACACCAAAAGTACGAAATTTGAAAGAAAACTTACGGAATCACGCTCTTGCAAAGTTAGCGGTCTTGGTGATATTTAAGCAGCTGCGATTTTGCCCACTGAGCCCTATTTCCTGCCAATTCCATTGTTCCAGTCAACCAAACTCACAGCTATTTCAGCAGAACTCCTTTTGTTCTATTGATTGAATAAAAGAAACCGCCCATTTTTCGATTTCAACTACCCAATAAAGTGATCAGAAATTGGTAATTTGGCCAATTTCATGCACAATTCAAGGAAGGCCAATTTCAAAATAAGGTCCAGAATTAACAATGCAAACATTCCTAACACTAATTATTCATGTCTCCAGGCCTCTCTTATATTACGCTTCCTTTCCATTTCGAATTTTTATTAACACAAAAAACAGAAGATTTACTGCTACGCAGGCTACAGCTGTATTGTAAAAATGATATAATATCAGCGCATTTGTGAAAGCATATTAGACCCACCAGTTGATGTGTACTGGACATGTGATGTGATTTGTTTACTCTAGAACATCGGCAAAAATTGAACATTTCTGCTACTTTGAGCTTAATTTCAAGATACTATTAGTTCGTAAACCATTCAAAATCATCTCTAGTTCTGTAATATATCTTCCATTCTATCAAAAGACCAAGAAAATAAGAATACAACCATAAATACCATATGAAAATACACCGTAAAGGTGAGATTAAGACACATGTGCAACATCTGGGTATCTTTATTGTAGACGTTTCGCCATCCAGTGGCTTTATCAATACAAATTCTAGGACATAACTTGAAGACAGTAGAACTATGTACAGAAGATGAGGTAATCAGTCCCTCAACCTAGGAGTAGGTGCGAAGAGCACCATAGTCGTGGAGATTCTGAAGCAGAAGAAAGGAGCCTGGCGCTTATATAGTAACGTCAAGTGTAGCAGACGAGGGCATATACTTCCACTGGGGAATCCCGCCTACCAGTGAATATGCCCTCGTCTGCTACACCTGACGTTACTATGTAAGCGCCAGGCTCCTTTCTTCTGCTTCAGAATCTCCACGACTATGGTGCTCTTCGCACCTACTCCTAGGTTGAGGGACTGATTACCTCATCTTCTGTACATAGTTCTACTGTCTTCAAGTTATGTCCTAGAATTTGTATTGATAAAGCCACTGGATGGCGAAACGTCTACAATAAAGATACCCAGATGTTGCACATGTGTCTTAATCTCATCTTGTCGGTATTATATACCATTCGTACACACCGTAAAGGTACCGTTTTAATCGAAAGTTTTTTCTCTCATTATTCACTGCCTGCTGCAGGATTTTTTTTTATACTGTGCACACTGGCCACTCATACCCATTCTCTCATATGTAGGCCTACCAGCTTTCTCCCGCAAGACTGGAAGCAGCTAGAATTTTGGCGTACTATTACATGACCGACACTGGTTTGCAAGCCGTAATACTACAGGACCGACAGTGAGAAGGTTAAAGGTCTGATTTAATTATTGGGATGCAGTAAACCATAACCAATCACTCCTAATTATATTTTTGTCGGGGAAATTTAGTAAATTTTCTGTTTTTGTGATTTTGAATTCAAAATGAAGGTAAGTGTAATGTAGGAGTGGCCTGAGAAAATGATTAATGAAGAGGAAATTTTTAATGTCAAGAATGTCTACAATGTTTATTTTGCCCTAATTTTAAATTTAAGTTTCTTATGCTCAATAGATAAAATGGTAGGCATACTACCAAAATAGGTAAGAATTTAGTCAAATAGAGCAATGAAACTGTTAATGTGCAATCTGCACCCACACTACTAACTTTGGGCCTGTGTAAGTCCACAAGTTTTCCATCAAGTTCATACTTTATTACCTTCAGAAAAAAAAATATCTAACATTTCAGATTTTTTTTTTTTAAAGCAGACCATGGAAGCAATGTTAATTTCAGGGGTCTAGATAGTGAAATCATTAATGTTGGGGCAGAAGACAACAGCAGTGAATTCTGCATGCCCACTGATAGGTTGGACAATATTAAGATATGCTGAACCAATAGTTCTCACACAGCAGAGTCAAGCATTTTTCCACGAGATGTAGAAGCACATGGCTGATGTGAGGATGGGAGAATGCAGTTTCCCAAACATAACAATGGTGGGAAGATAGCCATAAACCCAAACAGTTTGATACAGCAAGTTGTTGTGGACCAATGAAAACTAATGTTGTTGCCATTGGTGGCAGAGATGTCAAAAGAACACTGAAAAATAATCCAAGGAATACACCTGTGGGAAATTGGGAGGTCATAAACAGCTTAGTCTGCTTGTTCATTACCCTAAAACTAGACATGTTCAGGGACCCTGCAAAAACCAATGGCTGTGTATT